TTTGTGCCTGTATGCGGCTTGTTTTTAGATGTTAAACAGCTTTTGATTCTGTTAGCCATCAGATATTGCTTGACAAACTTTTGGCACTTAACCTCCCACATCCACTTCACTCTTGGTTTTTCTCTTACCTTAGTAATAGGCAGCAAAGTGTTCGTGTTGGTGACTCCCTCTCCTCCCAAGTACATGTCACCTCTGGCATTCCCAAGGGTTCAATACTTGGACCTCTTCTTTTCCTATTATACATTAATGACTTGAATGATCTAAACATCTCTTCTCACTTCAAAATGTTTCTTTTCGGAGACAACATCCTACTATTTCACCGTCTTTTAAGTTCACACGACTGGTCCTCTCTTCAATCTGAATTGGACTCCATTTTCTCTTGGATGCAATCTAATCTTTCTATATACAAGTAAATCTAAATGTAAGATCTTTTCACTCTCTCACCACTCAAGTTTTGAAACTCTGCCCCCCCTTTACCTTTAGCATATACCATTCAATCGTGTATCCTCCTACAAATACCTTGGTTTAGTATTCACCAGTAACTTGTCCTGGAACGACCACATATCATCTATAATCAAGAAGGCACAAAAGATCCTGGGTATCATTTATTGCAACTTTTTCAAACATTCATCTCCTGAGACCCTTATTCACCTTTATATTACTCTCGTTCATCCTTTTCTCGAGTATGCCATCCCAATTTGGGACCCCCTCTCATTCAGTGTCATCTCAGCTTGAGGCTGTTCAGCATTTTGATCTAAAACTGGCTTTTAAATCCTGGACGGTCCCATATCAACAACTACTTTCACAGTCTCACATTCCTTGTCACATTGCCATTTCAAATTTAAAATGATTCTTCTATTTAAAGTCAAGGAAGGCTTCTATTTCACTCCATTTCATCCTCTGCTAGCTAAAGTTCTCTCAAATTACCACTTAAGATCAAATGACAAAGGCAATTTATCTTAAATCACTTTTAATTCTTCTACTTACCAAAATTCATTCTATCCCTCTGCAATCAACCAATGGAATCATCTTCCCTCCTCTCTAATACAACGTTTACTCTAGCTTTTTTAACTAAGTCAGCCCTGTTTAAAGTGGGCCAGCACAGTTTCATTTGATATTGTAAACAGTAACCAAACTGAACTAAGTGAGCTAGGCCAAACCAGGCCAGCATGGTTAGTACGCAGGGCCAGCTCAGCCTGGTTCAGCACAGTTTGGCCCACTGGATGCTGATACTCTACTGTCTCACATAGCCCCTTTTTTTCATTTGGAGTCTGGCTATGCGAGACTATCTGATAACATCACTCACCTCTTCAGTAATACAACCTGGCTTTAATCAGGTTAGTGTTGACAGGCTGTTGAAGAGACTAGATGTAGCGTCATTTAATTCTAGTGTGTCTCGACATTATCATTCAGTTTTTTGTTATTTCTTTATATCAAAGCTTTGGTCATCATTGATAAGGATGATATTTTGTATGGCTTTGCTATCTTGTTATCAAAATCTAATGAATGCCAGATCTATCAATAAACCTAATATTACAATTTATATGGTTGAAAAAGACATTTTGGATCTGGTGTGTTAATACTCTTTAGTAATAATTGTGTGATGATCCACTTACACATGCATTCACACACACATTAATCTATTATTGATTTAAAAGCAAAAACCAGCATCAGACAGCAGTAGTGCTCTAGTAAATTTTACACACAATGACATTTATGTTAGCATTAATTTTAGTAATTTAATTCAATTAGTTTCCCACTGATAACTAAAGGATTCATCCTGTAGAAGGTCACAAGTTCATCAAGACTGGTAAAACTCTAAAAATAATTATCATTGTCATGTGTAGTGACCACCTGTGCTATTAAATACCTTTCCTTCGTCACAAGCTAAATGCATGGTGTCTAGTGAGTAATATCTATTTGTGTCACAATATATCCTATGAATAAAAATTAAAGCTTAATAGTCTTTAAAGGCTTGCGTTTAAAGTCAGTTAATGATAAGGCGGGGGCCACTCCTTAACGTTCGCGTGGTTATCCTCGTGGTCAGTTGTGTTGATTTGAGTGCTCAAGTGGCCAAGTTTTGGTTCTTGGCTGTGTAATTTTGTTTCTTTCTTTCTTCTTGTTACTCGCTGTGCCTTCGCCATGCCGAAAACTCGTCGGGCTGGAAGACGTGGACGTGGTTCTGGTCGTGGGGCGTCTCGAGAGGGAGCAGGTCCCACTTCGCCATCGCCTGGTCACGGCCATCCTCGTCGTGGTGTGCCTCTCAACAGAGCCGATCTCTCTCCTCCCTGCGCCAGTGGTGCAGGAGCCTGGTCCATCTTCCTCGGCTCTTTCCG